AAAGGAAAGCGGAAGCCCCCCCCCTTGGAGCCGGACATAAACCCCCGGGGAAAAAAATGTTTGTGATTTTTTTTTTTTTTTTTTTTTTTTAAACCCATTCAAGGCGACTCTAATGGAGACTTACCCGCAGACGCCTCCTCTGCAGAACCTGGTTCAAAGAAGGTCACTTTGCGCCCATCACACGACTTTTTCACTGGCGTCTGAATGAAAAAATATCAAGTCACATACATATGTTTTACTGGGATTTATAACATTAAATTGCACATATCATTTTAGAGCCATGGGAGTTAAAAATGTTAAAAACGTAAATATATATATATATATAAATCCACCTGGTTTCAAATAACGGAGGTTATTTTCCAACACTCTTCTAACAAAGAGCAAAGAGCCTTTTGGAGACGTGCCCCTGTAAAAGGGAGAGCCGCCTAAAGCAACAGAACAAAACTACTCATTGTTTTGATATAAAACATCAAATATGCCAATGAGTGAAAAGGATGGATTACCCGTCATCCACCAAAAATAAAGTTTCCGTTCAAAACCCTTTTCGTTCAGCGATACCAAACAATCAGGAGCCTTTGCTTTTAGGAAAGAACCTTCCCCCAAAGCTGAGGGATGAGGAAACGTTACAGATCACGTCATGGCGATGAGGGAAAGCTCTACTGGCGTGGATTCAGCAGCCATCATCCCAGAGATAACCACAGGCAACTCAGAAAATGTGCTCCACGAGCCCAACTTATTTCTGGAGCTCTCTGTCACTACGAAATATCTGCCAACAGTCACGGATTGCGTAGTTCAATTTCAGAAGGCGAGTTCCACAGTTAAGTTACATTTACTTTAGGCCGTTATAATCACTGTTTTTTGTAGGTGGTCAATGAACAAGCCTAGGTTTTTGTAGGTGATGTCATCCCTTTGGGCAAGTTCTGAGCTGCATTGGCCTTGATTTCTATCCGTTTCAAACATTTTCCACTTGGGACACTAATAAAAACTAATTCGACAAAAGAAAAGGAGATGTTGTAAAAGCTGTGCTGCGTTTCCTTTAAAATGAATACATTCATGAAACTTTTTTTTTTTTCTTTTTGAAAACTGAGCAGTACCTTTTCATCAGATTTGAGTGCTGGTTTGGGAGGTTGAGGCTGAGGCACTTTATATCCCAACAGTTCCAGCATTTTCTCAGCTGCATTCCTCTTGGCCACCTTCTTGCTCGGCCCCAGCCCCTCTGCCGTCTGGCCGCACACGGTCACCTGCAACAGACGGTGGAAATCACCAAAAGTCCCACAGAGAACGAACAAGCAAAGAAGAAGCGCAAACAGAAGCGCGGCTGCCGGCATGCCTCAGACTGCAGATGATTCACCTGCATGACGAACTCCCTGCGCCGCGGCAGACCTCTTTCTGTCACCATGCTGTACTCCGGCTCCTTCTCCTTCTTGGCCTGCTGGATCTGAGCCAAGCGGCTGATGGGATTCATCCCCTGGCCATACTCGGGGCTGGTCTGCAGCTGTTGACACGATGGATAAATCGTTACCTTATGAGCAGCCTTTAGGCCTCTTCTGACTAATCCCAACCAGAGTTAAAAGTTGCATCACCTTGATTATAGATTTTGTTTTCTTTTTGATGCGTGGCAGCTTCTTCTCCACGCTGGGTATGTGAGGGAGCCTCTTTAACTCCACCAGCACTGCGGCGGCTGCCAGCTTCTTGGCAATCTTTTTGCTTTTGCCCTCACCCTCTCCCACGAACTCCCCGACTACAACGCGCACTACAAAACTCTTCATGTGTGGAGGCCCTTCTTCCTTTAAAATCTGTGTGGGGGGGGGGAAAAACAGCAATCTCCCATGTAACAATATATATTTGACACACAATCCCTTCTTATTCCTACGTAGCTGGATCTTCGAGAACAGCAAATCCATTCGAACCTCAAAGTTGACGGGTAGGTTCCTTTTCAGAGCAATTTCAAACACTTGACTTATTTCTGATTTGTTCAAGTTCTCCTCCTCCTCGGGCTCTCCGTTCATCTGTCAAAAACAACATTAAAAATAGAAAAGTTGTGAGTCTCCATCTAGCACCGCATAAAAGCCTTTTCATGCTGAGCTGCTCTACTTTTCTCACCACTGGCGACTGCTGCAGCATTGGCTCCTTCTGCAGCACTTTCAAGGCTTTGGCAGCGGCGTCGTGTTTGGCCTGCTGCCGCGTCCGTCCCTTCCCAGTGAACTGCTGGCTCCCGACGGAAAGCTCCATGTGGTAAATTATTGGTCCCACTGGAGGAAATGGATAGTAGTACCTGGACACAATGAGAGAGTTTACAACCAACTGCAGATGACAATTATGGAAACATTTTATTGATTTTTTTTTTTTTTTTTTCCCCTGGGATGTAAACTCACTGTTGCATAGAGCGCTGGTAAGGTCCTGGAGCGCGGACACTGTAGTTGTAGCTTGGTGGTCGCATACCCGGGTATGGGTCAATGGGTTTAAAGTTGGGTTTTTTACCAAGCTTCAAACAAAGTGCATTCAACTCCATGGTGTGTGTGCTGCCATCTACTGTAAGGCAAAGAGCAGAAAACTCCTTTAAGATAAAATCCATGTGTCCATTTTCCTCTATGAAAATGATTGCTCAGATTGGGCCGGAGCAGGTTTGAGCGGCCCACCTGGGTTCCTGCCGGTGTTGCGGGGCGTCCTCGCTGTGGGTTTGGGAAGCGTAGTCTCGGCGAGGGCAGATGCAGCAGCCGAATGCTGGGCTTTCTTGATGCTGGTTCCTTCGGCCTCCCAGTACTGATCTCCCAGTGTGAGCCTCACCGAGAAAATCTGAAGGGAAAATTGCTTCATTAGAATAAAAAGGCACAAAACAAGTCGGAGAACTGAATTCTGTTATGAGACGTGTACCTTGGAGTGAGCTGGTCCTTGCTCAGAAAGAAGCTTGTACTCGGGCTGGATCTTGTTGAAACGGGCTAACTCATTCACCAAACACATGGGGGTCTTCTCTTTAGGGTTTGCCATGTTGTAAACTAGAAGAAAACAAAATAAATCACTCACAACCAACCACCTAACACGGTCCTAAACACTTAAAAGGTCCCTTTGTTGAAATATTTCAATTCAGGAGATCTGAGTACATAAAGGGTTATTTGTTTCAAGAGTTTAACGTTAACTTTGATGATCATGGCTTAAACCCAACAAAAACCAAAATTAGTTCTGTAAAAATTTTGAATATTGCACAAGACAAAACAAAATGCTTTTTATGGTCACCTCCATAAAAAACTGCAACAATAAAAGGAGCCCCAGTCGAGAAGTGAGCATTTACCATGCAGTGTATATTCATGTTATTGGCCTCATCTAATGTCCTAATTAAATGAGAAACTGAATTTTCATTCACAAAAAAAATAGTGAAATATATCACTATGTTTAATTTTTTCAAGTGAAATGGTAAAACAATGCATTGTCAAAGATTTTTTTTTTTTTTTCATTTATTGACATGCATCAGCATCCTTCAGGAGACTAAAATATATTTTAAGGCAAGCAAACCTGTGGCGGTGTTATAGGGAGTGGCGGAGCCAGCGGGCAGAGCAGAGCTTCTGATTGGCTGGCTGGCGCTCTCTGATGGAAGGGCGCCTGTAGCGCACGGGATGCTGTAGCCAGGCTGCGGCTGCCCCAGCTGCAGCGGGGCAGAGGCAGCAGGAATGGCGCTAGGCGGACACTGAAACTGGAGCTGAGACATTCTTTTGCTCTGATGCTGAAGTCAAGACGAGAAATCTGCAGAGTGGGAAATAATACAACATCTTCCAGGAAAAAAAAATAAAAAAATAAAAATAGTAGCACCGCATTCAGAGCACTTCAAATCACGCCAAAGGTGTTTCAACAGGCTGAGATAAGGACTTTTTACAGGCCAATCAAGTTCATTTACAAACTCTTTTAAGTTGTTTCTAAAAACAAACTAAAACAAATAATCATCCGTTTATGAAGCATCATACTTTGCAAAATGCAGGATGAAATGGTCGGTTCTCTTAGCAACCCAGACAAGATCCTCTACAGACCAGTGGATGTGTGCATCCCTGCACCTGATGCTTTGCACTACGATCAATCTACTTCTTGATTTTTTCTGAAATCAATAAGGTCAAGTTTTGACTGCGATTGGTTGACACACAAAATAAGAGAAAAAAAGAAAGCAAATACACTCCTAGTAATCAGCTGATAGACATTAACCAAGCATATAATGAAATCGTGATAAAAAACCCCCGCATAATTAAAATTCATTGCCACGCAGCATCAGCTCTATTTTACGGAAAATATCTCTCCTTTGTCAGTCTTTCCTGTTGAAGACACTCTTAGGCTCTCTAAAAGTTCTTTCTACTGCTAACATTTTGTCACATTAAGAGCTATGGTTAGGCCTATGGCGGTTTGTGAATGACTTTACTGAGGTACAATTATAAGAAAATCTTAAAAATTCCAGAAATTCTAAGTATTAGGAGCTACATTTAGTCCAAGGACTCTTTGAGAATACAGGCCCAGGACTCATAGGTGTCAAACTCCAGTCGTCAAAGAGTCAGTGTCCTGCAACCTTTAGATGAGCTTCTCCTTCAACACGCCTGATTGAAATAATAAGATTCATTAGGAGGATTCTGGAGAACTTGACTGCATGTTGAGTAGGTAATATTAGGCATTTGACTCAGATGTGTTCAACTAAGGACATCTCAAAGTTACAGGGACCAGAGTTTGACACCCCTCACCTGTGATTGACTCTATACACTTGTGACCACGATAGTGGCTGAAACACCTGAATTCAGTTACCTGTACAGCTGACCCAGTACTTCTGGATACTATTGCAATGAGGCGGTTGATGGATTACAGTCCTACAGTTTCTAAAATTGTTTAAATTCTGCATTAATCTAAATTACCCAATGAATAAATGCTGCAGTAGATGACATGCACCTTTTGTAGAGGTGAAAGCTCTCCTCCTGCCTTAATGATGAAAAATCTGAGCAAAGAGACTTATAAGCTTTTTACTGCTTAACTGGATTTCATCAGTCTTTCCTCCAGACATTAATTTTCTTTTGTCACGCATCTTGTGCGTGCTCTGGCGCTTCTACGCGGTCTAAAAATGTATATTTGGGCGTTAAAACTCCGATTTCAGTCACATTTTAAGCGCTAATTCACAAATGTCAGTCTGTCGAACCTTACCTGAAATTACCCGACTTGCAGATGAAATGTCACCTTAATTGTTTCTGTTCCTATGAGATTAACCTGTATGCTAGCCAGTTAGCTGACGCATACAGGGACGCAAAGCACTTGCAGAAACATAATAAAGGTCAACTACATTATTTTGAGCGATTATGCAACCTGTCTTTAGAAAATACTACTGTCAGCTAAAAACATATTTAAGTTCCCAAAATAAATCAGGCCGCCGGTTTGCTACTAAAACAATGTTAGCAAAGCAGCTTTCTCGCTGCAAAGCCACCACCGATTTAATTTTCGCAGAATCAAAAGCCATCATCTCCAAAAGATAGTGTAGATGTGACGACAAACCCGTAATAGATGAGCACAAAGCTTGACATTTCTCTACTAATCAGGTCTGATGTTTAATTTACCGGCGACTCCTATAGCAGTGAATCAAAGCCGCTAGCTATGTGGCTAATGCCGACAACTCTGAGCAGAAAATCAACCTCACCTAGTCGCTCCTTGTCTTCAGATTTTAAATCAGTCCATACGAACTGATGACTTAAAGTGACTTGTTTTTTTTCTTGGTTCCAGTTTCTAGCCTCGGTGTGTTATTTTATTGTCAAAATGCGGGCGGCTAAGAGGAGAACATTGGGAGGACAGGGCAAACACTAAAGAGAATGGCACAGACTTAATTCTCTCCAGGATATGACAACATCAGACAGGAAGTACTTCAAATAGAATCCAAAATAATTTAGAAACGCATTAAAAATAGACCTACAGCAGGTAGAAGGAGATCATAATTTTATTTTGGTTGCACAAGTACTTCAAAAAAAGAAAAACTTAAAATAAAATTATAGGCTTAGCGTCACTATTATTCCAAATTGTATTAAAAAACACACACTATGAAGTCCATTTTTTTAAGCTGATAAATATAAAAGTGGTCATTACTCACTATAAAATATTGCTTCTATGGTCTAGCAGTTTAAGAACATGAGGATAAAGAGTCGTTACTGAGGTGAGTGGTTCTATGTGGGAGGTTACAGGTTGTATGCCTGACAGATATTCAGAGAATCTCTCAACATTAGGTCACGCAAACGCCACAATGCGTCCACCATGGTTGTGTGAGCTCCTTTGCTCTTCAGCCAGTGTGCAGGAAGCCGACTCTCCTGCTCTTTGGTCAGGTGGGCATCACGTCTTTGAGCTGTAAAGGAAAGAATTTACCGATTTAAACAATGGTTTGCAAATATATTCAAACTGCCTGAAGTTCTCCACATTTTGCGTTACCACAACAGCCTTCAAGTCGTTTTTCACTGAGATTTTATGTCAGAGGCCAACACAAAGAAGTATACATTCCAAGCTTTGAAAATCCCATGGAGCACTGTACACCAATCATGTGGATATACAAAGAGAATGGCGCAATCACAAATAAGAAGGGAAATGTGTTCTGGTCAGATGAGACTAAAGCTTCACTTTCTGGCTTACATGCAGGTGCTAGGTTTCATAGAAAACCAAGAACTTGAATACATCATTCCTACAACCCCATATGGTGATGGGAGAGGAAAGGTGTTCATAGTTGATGGAAAATTGGATGCAGATATGTACAAGGCATATCTCGAAGAAAACCTTTTTGAAGCCACCAAATATTTGAGACCATGGGAGAGATTCACATTTTACTAGGACAATGACTTAACATACAACCGTTTTATTCTCTATATGAGCAAGGCTTATAGAAACAGACTCCAAAAGATTTGCAGCTGGTACTTGAGTTAAGTGGTTTCCACAATACTAACATAGGGGGCCTGAATACAGATGTACACCTCAATTTTCAGATTTTTATGAGGGGAAAAAACTGAAAACCTTGTATCTATCTCCTTCCATCTAAGGATTACGCACAACTTTATTTTTAAATTTGTGGTTGCAGTCCAATAAAATGTGGAAAAAAATCAAGGGGTATGAAACATCTGAAAACTAAACAAGCAAAACCACATACACATGTTTATTGAAGTGTGTAAAAACATGAAAATGACATATTTTAAGTTTTGTTGATCCAGAAAAAAAATACTAAAAATGTAGATCTTGCAACTTAATTCATAGAATTTACACAAACAAACAGATACAAGCCTAAAGGGAGCAGAAAGAAGCACCTTTCAGCATTTGATCCCACTTGCTGACAGTGTTTGACTCAGAATTTAATCCCTCTATGTACTTCAGGTAGGCCTCTGAGTGGAGCACCCTCTGTGTTTTTGGTGGTGGTGCCACAAACATCGGAGTAGTCGGCTGCAAATGAGACGGCTGGCCCTGTCCTGGATATGGAGGAGGAGCATGCTGTCCAGGACTGAACATGCCAGGCTTGAAAGAAATAGAAAATAAATCAAAGCTGAACGTTAATCCCAACATTGTTGGATCACTACGATAACCGCTTTCTCCATTTAAGTGCAGCTAATGAGGAATCAATATGACCATAAACACACTAAATATGATTATTTACTTAAAAAAAAAAAAAAAAAACACTCACCTGTTGAATGAAGTTGCTTTGCCCAGGACTTCCTGCCATGCCATTGATACCAGCTCCCATCATACCTAATTTAAGACATAACTTGCATTAGGTTTAAGAAGACCCCTGAGTCGGTTCTTATTGCTGGATTTCCTTTACATTAGGACTTACAACAACTTCTACAATTGTTAGTCTATCAATATCAGTTAAATGTTAGTTATCTGGTATCAGCTCTATCATGCAATATGTGTATGAATATGAATGTTGTACATTAGGTGTGTTAAGTGAGTGAATGTAGGCTGTTTGAGAGCGGGCAGCTTTCTCAGCTCCGTGTGTAGCTCAGGCTTTGCAGCCTGTGGACCAGGTAAACCCCTCCAGCAGGAGAGACACCACCGCATGTGACTGAGCAGGTGTGGCTAGGACAGTCGGGCCCTTACCCTGATGTGGCATGCTCGGATACCCTGGCATGCCTTGGTGGAGATGGTGAGGAAGCAGGTTAGGACCCCCTGCGGGGTGAGGTGGCATTGGGGCCACACTCAGCAAACCCTCGTGGGGGCCCTGCATGGGCATGTAAGGTGGGCCGTAAGCTCCCATCATGCCTTTGGGAAGAAGGCGAGGAGAGCACAACACATTCATGCATAAGTTACATGCAGCTGACTCTAAAACAACATGCACTACTGCTACTACACACATTTGCCCTTTTCACACATGCACCTTCAGAACATTTGTTTATGTTTCAGTCAAGTTTCCTCCCTATTTAAGAATTACACTGGATGGGAAGTGTGGCAGTTTATTGTCCCCCCACCCCGAAAAAAAAATATGCTGAGCACTTCAGTTTATATGCAAGCATCATGGATGAATTCTATGAAGGTAAAAAGGCAATGAAGACAGATTTTGCCAAGTTTTCAATAGTGACATTAAGCCTGTCTCCACTTGCACAATGTGAAAAGAAACTCTGGGCAGTTGTGTAGTCTAAAGAAAAACTGATTAGTGAGGCTAATCACAACAAAAGACTTTAATTTACCAGGCAGCATAATGCTTAGCATTAACAGAACAAAAGCATGTGTAGCAATACTACGATCTGCTGTCACTGCAGTTTGTCTGATTTAGCAACGTTATCACTTCGTAGCCATCGTGAATGTACGACGTAATCAGAGCTAAAGGCGGTCAAACAAAAATAATGGTGTGTGTAATCTTTCCTGGACAGGCAGTGTAGCTTAAGCAGGGAGTAAAAAGCCATAACACTGATATGACCTTAGGAATCATTTGTGAGCATAAAGTTCCTTCATTTAACCCAAACTGATCATTTCAAGTAGACTGAAAAATGTTCTGTCTCTCGTTGGGTCAGCATTTGCAAAAAAACAAAAAAAAAAAACAAAAAAAAAACATGCATACATGCATGAATGAGGAATAAGGAAAAGCTTTGTGTGAACTATTAGAAAATAAAATTACACCTAATTGGCAAAAACTGGTAATGCTGAAGATGCAGTGTGTGAAAGGGGCTGACAATGCACATGTTTGAAAATGAATGAATGTTAAAACAAAAAAAAAAAACTGTATATTAAATGGAAAACTTAATAACAAAACATTCCTGGTTAAAAAGTCAATCATGCAATCACTGTCATGCAAAATCACACATAAAACTGGAGATGATGACAATATAAAATATGTAACAGAAGCAAAAGAAGAAATGAAATGCTTCCAGAATGTGGATTTATGTCAAAACAGGCCTAAAATGTTAAAGGAAGGTCAAGGTTTTCAAACAGTCCAGCCTCATTTTCCTGCTGCCTTTTTGTCAAACACTCGTGCTGTCTCTGAGAGGGGTTACCTGACACAGGTGTCATGGACTGGTTTATCATTCCCATAGTGCTAGGCGAAGGCACCACCCCCATCAGTGCCCCTACAGGGGTACCTGCTCTAGGGGAACCTTGCTTGAAGGGCCTGTCACGTTCCTGTTGCTCCACTATCCTAGCAGCACGCTCTGAAACATAAAAACAGTTTCTCGGTTGACGTGTGCTAACGCACTGACCCTGATCCGGCTCTCAGGTCCTAATGATTCACCTTCATATTCAGCTTTCTTAGAAGCTTCAAGGTTTCTCCACTCCGTGCCAACAAGACGACTCAGCTCCCCGAAAGAGTAATCGGGGTGTCGAGCTTTGATGATTGCTCGCACTTCACTGCTGAACAGAATGTAGCCACTCATGTTGATCTTTCTCTTGGCTCCTTCCTTCTTTGCCAAGCCTTTTACCTTGGGAGTTGCCTTAATAATAAATGAAAAAACAAAAGGCTCCATTGTAACATCAGCAGTAAGAAGTTGAAGCTTCTGATTGTAAAATAAAATGTAGTTTTGTTAGGGTTAGGGTCTTTAGAAGTGTATGAATACCTGAGGTGTGTAGGACAAAATGTCCATGTCACTTGTAAGAGAGGATTGCATCTGAGGCATAGAGGGCGTCGTTGGAGCGTCTTCATCCTCATCCATGTCATCCATGTCATCATCTCCATCTTCCATGTCAGCCAGCTTCACCTCAAGCTCATCTATTTTTTTGTCCAAGAAGGGTGAAGCCTCCTTTTGCGGCACTATCAGCTTCCTGTAAAAGATATCAAAACAAACGAAAGGTGAAACAAATGGGAACAAATTGGCTCCATTAGGAAATCAAATAATATGACTTGGTTCCCAAACCTGAAATAATAGACCTCATCCTCCACCACTTTGGAGGTGTACGAGAACCGTTTCAAACCCTTGAATTTTTTCATTGTCTTCTCTGTCTCAATGTAACGGCTCTCACACAGTAGGATGTCTTCCTCTGCAAACTCAGTGGGTCTGTTGGACAGGTAGTCCTTAAAAGAGGACACCATGCATTTACCTGACAGAGAGAAAGAAATATTGTTATTGAATTATACTAACACTCAAATGTAAGCTTTATCACCACTGTTCTGGGGATCACATATACTACAATGTGAAGAAAATACGCGAGGGGGAAAAGGGGACTGCCTCTAAGACATTAGGTGTGTAATCAGTCAATTAGCTTCTTAATCTAAGCAAGTGGCTGGGGAATCAGGATACTAATGGTCTGAATGATTGCACATAAATTACTGAACTAAAGTTTCAGAAAGAGTTTTTTTTAAAAGAAAGTACCCATGACACAAGACATGGGCAGGGTCTCCTCCCGATGACTCAGAA